CCGCCGAGCAGGGAGCCCGATGCGGGACTCGATCCAGGGACTCCAGGATCATGACCTGAGCCGAAGGCAGTCGCTTAACCAACTGAGCCACCCAGGCGCTCGATAGTGAGCCTTTTAACATCACAGATCCATATACTTTGTTACAGCACAGTAGTTCAGCTCATTGAGTAGTTTTTGGTCTCTTTAGGGGTATTCCTTCCTATTCCTTAGTTCCCAAGTAAAAACCAAAGATAATGAGCACAGATCTACTTTGGCTACCTGCCATTGGAAGGAGTCAAAGGTAGTCTTCTTGACTGAAACTTTACTTAGCCTTTATGTCCCTTTCTGTAAAGCTCACGATTTTGCGAACCCTTTTGTTAAGAATCATTAATAAGCACCTTCCTCTGTGTTGGCTAATTTCATTAGAGGAGCTATCTTTCTGTGTCAGAGCATTCTGACTTCCTGAGTTACAAAATATATTTTCCATTTACTCAGTGAAAACCTTGATATTCTGGTGACACTCAGATTCTGATTTTGTTTGCTATGCTTTTTTTTTATATTTTTTTTTGAAAAAAAATCTTTTCAAACATTTGCTAAAATATAAGTGCATGTAATGATATGTTAAATTTACTTATTTTGGTAATGGAGCTGATTTAGGCAAAATGTAATGCCTTTCTTTGGAAATTGGTCTGTGTAATGAGGTCATTTTAGCCATCCGGTAAATGTTTTAGTATCATGTATAGAACACTGTACCAGGCTTTAGCGCTAGGAAGTGAAAAAGACACAATTTGTGCCCTTTCTACTGGGAGACACCAACATGCAAACAACTGTGATTCAAAGAATAAAATGTATCTTATGAATTGACCATATGAGCTTCGGTAAGCCACTTAACTAGGTCTTTGTTTTCTCACTGTGACAGAGTTGCCCCAGGGCATTATATCCTAACTTTTAAGGTGCATAGGAGTCATCTGGGCTCTGTTTTGGCAGCTCTGGGGTGGTGCCAAGATTCTGCATTCTTAACTAGCTCTTAGTCCATGCCAAAAGTGCTGGTCTATCTACCACATACAAAAAGATTAAAAACAAAACAAAACAAAAAAACAGCCCACAAAACTTCACTGAGATGTAATTCACATTCAACACAATTTACACATTTAAAATCTATCATTCAGTCACTTTCCATACAGTTTGAATTGTGCAACCATCACCACAGTGTTAACTGTAAAACATTTTTATCACTCCCAAAAGAACACCTTTACCTTTAGTAGTCACTATATTCTCTCCCCTTCCCCAGAGTCTGGTAGGCACTAATTTGCTTGCTCTGTCTGTGTACATGTACCTATTCTGGACATTTCATTATAAATGGAATTAAATACTATGAAGTCTTTTTTGTCTGGCTTATTTTAGTTAACCGTGTTTTCAGGGTTCATCCATGTTTTTGCACGTATCAATATATCATTGCTTTTTATTGCCAAATAGTATTCCATTGTACGTATATACCACACAATTGTAAATCCATTTACATTTAAAGTGATTATTATTATTATTTTTTAAAGATTTTATTTATTTATTTGACAGAGACACAGCAAGAGAGGGATCACAAGCAGGGGGGAGTGGGAAAGGGAGAAGCAGGCTTCCCGCGGAGCAGGGAGCCCGATGCGGGGCTTGATCCCAGGATCCTGGGATCATGACCTGAGCCGAAGGCAGACGCTTAACCATCTGAGCCACCCAGGCGTCCCTATTTGTTAAGTATATTATATAAATCAGGAAAAATAGAGGAGTTACAAAGTCAAAACACAATAATGCTGGCATTTATATTTCCCTGTGTAGTTACGTTTACTTGAGTTTATTTCTTCATATGGCTTTGAGTTACTTTCTGCTCTCCTTTTGTTTTAGCTTGAAGGACTCTACTTTAGCATTTCTTGTGGGGCATGTCTGCTAGCAGTGAATTTATCTTAGCTTTTGTTTAAGTGGGAATGTCTTAATTTTTCTTCATTTTTGAAAGATAGTTTTGCTGGATATAGACTTTTTGACATTTTTTTTTTTCCTCTCAGCACTGTAGATATGTCTACTGGTTCTCACCACCATGGTTTCTAATAAGAAATGGGCTGCTAATCTTATTGAGGAGTACATGATGAGTTGCTTCATCTTTGCTGTTTTCAAGATTGCATCTTTGTCTTTCAGCAGTTTGATTATGTCTGCCAGTCTAAATGGCTTTGAGTTTTTCCTATTTGGAGTTTATTGAGCTTCTTTATATAGATTCATGTCTTTTAAATTTGGGAAGTTTTCTTTACATTATCTTTTCAAATATTCTTTCTGCACATTTCTTTTCTTTTTCCCCCTGAGACTGCATTTTATATTGGTATGTTTGATGATGTCCCACAGGTACCTTAAGCTCTTTTCATTTTTCTTTATATTTTTTTTCTCTCTGTCCTTCAGACTGGTTAATTTCAATTGTCCTGTCTTTTTGTTTGCTCGTTTTTATCTCCCTCCTTGTTCAGATCTGCTGTTGTACCCCTCCAGTTAACTTATCATTTCAGTTGTACTTTCAGCATCAGGATT